GGAGGAAGGGACGTGAATGGCGGAGGCTGGAATCACCTGGAGGCTTCATCTGGCACCTGGACCAGATGACCGACCTGGGTTCGTCCGGGACTGCTGACCGGAGCACACATGTGGAGCACTGCAGGTGGCTGGGACTTCCCAGCACCACAGCTGGGTTCCTAAAGGAAGCACCTGGAGGGAACATCTGGAGAGTGAGCGTTCCAGGAGACCAGGGCAGAAGCCTCAAGGCTTCTTCTGACCTAGCCTTGGAAGTCACCCAATGTCACCTCCACCATAATCTATTGGTCACAAGTGAGTCACTAAGGCCAGGTCAGATTGAAAGGTGCTGAGTGAGGTACTACCTCTTGATGAGGAGTGGCAAGGTCCCATTGGAGAAGAGCACATGGGTGAAAGACACATGTGTGTGTGTGCACGCGCGCATGTGTGTATACAGAGACAGAGGGGGAGAGAATTTGCCACAAGTAAGCAAATATCCTATATAATTTCAGGTAGAGCCAAACAGAAGTGGTATTCAAAATATTTAGACTATAAATAAATACAAGGAATGTTTCGGGGGCGATAAAACATTCTAAAATTGGATTGTGGTAAAGGCTGTACAACTCTGCAAACTTACAAAAAATCGTTGAATTATACACTTAAGGAAAATGAACGTTGTGGCGTATAAATTATACCTGAGCACACCTGGTAAGCATGCAGCTAGCACCTGCGGGCACTGAGGAAGCAGAGAAGGCGCCATGCTGGCCATGGGGCTGGAACAGGCTCTGGGGTCCCTTCAGGTGAACAGCAGTGGAAAGGCCTCAGGTGTCCAATGCCAGCTCCACGTGGTGGCCTGACGCCCTCCTGGTCTACACTCTCCTCTCCTCTGTCCTTCACAGACATTCCCACCAATAAATCTCCCGCGCTTCTGAATCCATCTCGGCATCTACTTTCCAGGAGATGCAAATGGCCACATCCCTAAAATAAAGCATTAGCCCAGTTTCCAGCTTTCAATCAAAAGCTTCAGAAGGGGTCTTCCCCAGCAGTAAAGTGTTGAGCTGCTGCTCTCCTGGCTGTGCTGAGTGGAAAGGGTATAAAAACGAACAAGACGGGAACTCTCCCCTAAGTGCTCTCTCCGTCTAATTAGAACGGGGCTTCATCTTAAGGAATATATGAAGAAAAAAATTTAGATCTCAGTACAGTGGCAAAAATGTTGTAATCGAGATATGCAAAGCACGTTAAGGCAATGCAGAGGCTTAGATGCTTAGCGGCACGGACGGTCCCCTGACCCAGACTGTAGAGCCACCAGAAACCTCGGCAGAAGAGGAAAAACTGGAAAATGAAAAGGAGTTGGCCAGACCGAGCTGAGGTGAAGGGCGTTTTCAGCAGAAGGCAAGCAGGAACGAAAGCAGATGTATTATTTATGAGACTAAAATGAAGCAGATCGTAAGCCTCCTCCACCTTGGGAAAGGAGATGACACGGCCAAATATAGCTTCTTGGGATTGGCCTTGGACTTGTGCTGAGCTGAGGCTACAGTGTGGAGTTTGGACTTATTTCCCAAACTTCCCCCCACCGCCTCCTCCTTGCCCAGCCAGACTCGTTCCTGGTCTCGCATGGGACTTCAGAGACCCTGTCTAGACTTCAAACTTTATTATAAGGCTGTAGTAATCAAAACAGCTTGGTACTGGCACAAAAATAGAGCCATTGACCAGTGGAACAGAACTGAGAACCCAGATATAAAACCGTCCTCCTATAGCCACCTA